CTGAAGGATAGGAGTAGGAGGCAGAGAGTGTTTTCCTGGGGTTTGGGTGAAGGATATTGTTAGCCGTCTGGATGACATTATGAGAGGTAATGGGAGCAATCCTATTATCAGTCTCAGTGCTGGAGGCAACGATGTTGGCAGACGTAGGAGTGAGGACCTAATTAGCAGGTATAGGTCAGCAATAGAGATAATTAGGAGGAAGGGTGGGAAACCTGCCATATGTAGTATTTTGCCAAGGAGAGGAGTTGGAAATGAATGGTTGTCCAGGGCAATTGGTGTCAATTGCTGGCCTGACAAATACTGTAAGGAAAATGCGGTAACATTCATTGACAACTGGGACCTCTTCTATGGCAGAAATGACATATGCCAGGGATGGGGTTCACTTATCTAGGTGTGGGGTGGGAGCACTGGCCAACGCAGTGGAGGGAGCTGTTAGGTCTTTAAACTAGGAATAGTTAGTGGTATGGGCTTTGGTGGGAAAACAGTGAAGTCCCAGTGTAGTAATATGAGTACTAGGAGAACTAGTAATAGGCAAAATGAGGTGTATGTTGGAAAGCCAGTGGCACTAGGTGACAAGGACAGTGGAATAACAGAAAGGAGCAGGAAGGGTAAAGAGAAAGGAGGGTCCTTAAATATATATTACACAAATAGTCGTATTGCTAGGAATAAGATGGACGAGTTGAGACTAGTTGCTGGTGCAGGTAACATTGATGTATTTGCCTTAACTGAGACGTGGTTCAATAGGAAAAATCGGGACATGCCTGCTGAATGTCACATACAGGGTTTTAAATTGTTCCAAGTAGATAGAAGTATCGGGAAGGGGGGTGGGGTGGCACTGTATGTCCGAGATCGCTTGAACTGTTGCATAAAAACGGGTATTAAGTCTGAAGTAACACATACAGAGTCTGGATAGAATTTTCAGAGGGACATGAAAAATTTATTTTAGGTGTGCGATACCGTCCCCCAAACTTAGATAGGGACCAAGGGAGACTACTATGGGAAGAAACTGTTAAGGCCACAAGGCATGTTAACGTAGTAATTCTAGGAGACTTAACTTTAGTCATATTGATTGGAATTTCTTGACTAGGAATTTAGAATCAAATGACTTCTTAGAAGTAGTTCAGGATTGTTTTTTGAAGCAGTTTGTGACAGAGCCTACAAGGGTAAATAACCTGCTTGACTTGGTTTTGGCAAACAAGGAAACCTTTGTTAATAGTTTAGAAATTTGTAGATGAATGGTTCAGAGAACCGACATGTTGATAAATTAGACACATGTGCAACTCTTGGGTATCTTTATTGAGGAAACGTTTCGCCACACAGTGGCTTCATCAGTCCATACAAAGGAGAATCTTGAAGAACAGGAGGAGAATGAGGTAATCAGTCCCTCAACCTTGAGTCGATGTGGTCAGTCCATCAAGATTGATGGACTGACCACATCGACTCAAGGTTGAGGGACTGATTACCTCATTCTCCTCCTGTTCTTCAAGATTCTCCTTTGTATGGACTGATGAAGCCACTGTGTGGCGAAACGTTTCCTCAATAAAGATACCCAAGAGTTGCACATGTGTCTAATTTATCAGTTTAGAAATTACAGAGGAACTCGGCACAAGCGATCACAAATCAATTACCTTTAGCATTGAATGGAAGTATGATAGTAGGGATAATTCAGTACTGGTCTCAGATTTTCGCTTAGCAGATTACAATGGGCGTAGAGAACACTTATCATCTGTGGACTGGGGTAACGAAGAAAGCTATCAGTAGGACAGCTTTCTTAACACAATACGCTGCCCAAAGAACATTTATCCCATATAAGGAAATTAGATCGAATAGAAATGACCCCAAATGGATGAATAATAGGCTCAAATATCTTTTAGGACAGAAAAAAGGAATTTATTGGCGCATCAAAAGAGGTGAGGGTCATCTTATGAATTGGTATATTGACATTAAGAGGGACGTTAAAAAGGGGATAAGAAAAGCTAAACGGGACTATGAAATTAAAGTTGCTAGGGATTCGAAAACTAACCCAAAAAGTTTTTTCCAGGTTTATAGAACAAAGGTTAGAGATAAGATAGGTCCCCTTAAAAATAACTCTGGCAAGGAGACTGAAATGTGCTCTATTCTTAATAATTATTTTCTCTCGGTTTTCACTCAGGAAGACACTAACAATATCCCAGTAATTAATTTTTGTAGTGGGCTTGATGATGATAAATTATGTAATAACACAGTCACTACCGAATTGGTTATCAAACAGATGCACCGGTTAAAGCAAAATAAATCCCCGGGCCCTGATGAACTTTTTTCAAGGGTTCTTAGAGAGTGTAAAATGGAACTTTGTGAACCATTGACTAATATTTTTAATATTTCTCTTCAAACAGGTGTAGTGTCTGATATGTGGAAGATGGCTAATGTAATTCCTATTTTTAAAGCATGGGACAAGTCGTTACCGTCAAATTACCGCCCAATAAGTCTAACCTCAATTGTAGGCAAATTACTAGTCATTCATAGCTGATAATATAAGAAGCCATCTTGATAAGCATAGCTTGATTAATGATACTCAGCATGGATTCACAAGGGGCCGTTCCTGCCTAACTAATTTATTAACCTTCTTCAGTAAAGCTTTAGAGGCCGTTGATCATGATAAAGAATTCGATATTGTTTATTTAGATTTTAGTAAGGCTTTTGATAGAGTATCGCACCAGAGACTGTTAAAAAAAGTGGCAGCTCATGGTATTGGGGAAAAAGTGCTGTCATGGATCGAGTCATGGCTCACTAATAGGAAGCAGAGAGTATGCTTAAATAGGGTTAAATCCGAGTGGGGATCTGTAACAAGTGGCGTACCACAGGTATCAGTCTTAGGCCCGTTGTTGTTTATAATATATATCAATGACCTTGATGAGGGTATTACTAGTGATATGAGCAAGTTCGCCGATGACACAAAGATCGGTAGGATAATTGATTCAAACGTAGATGTTAGGGAACTTCAGGAGGATTTAGACAAACTCTATTCTTGGTCAGAAAAGCGGCAGATGCAGTTCAATGTAGATAAATGCAAGGTTCTGAAGCTTGGGAGTGCCCATAACCCTAGTACTTACAAGTTAAATGATGTAGAACTTAGCCATACAGATTGCGAAAAGGACTTGGGGGTTATGGTGAGCAGCAACTTAAACCAAGACAGCAATGCCTAAGCGTACGTAAAAAGGCAAGTCGATTATTGGGATTTATATCAAGAAGTGTAAGCAACAGAAGTCCAGAGGTCATACTGCAGCTTTATACATCATTAGTAAGGCCTCACCTAGATTATGCAGCTCAGTTCTGGCCTCCATATTACAGAATGGACATAAATTCTTTAGAAAACATTCAGCGTAGAATGACTAAATTAATACATAGCATTAGAAATCTTCCTTATGAAGAAAGGTTGAAGACTCTTAAATTACATTCACTTGTTAGACGAAGAATGAGGGGGGACATGATCGAAGTGTATAAGTGGAAGATGGGTATTAATAAAGGGGATATTAATAAGGTCTTGAGGATATCTCTCCAGGAGAGAACCCGCAGTAATGGATTTAAATTAGACAAGTTTAGATTTACAAAGGACATAGGTATTGGTTTGGAAATAGAGTAGTTGATGAGTGGAACAGTCTATCTAGTTGGGTTATTGAGGCTAGGACTTTGGGTAGTTTCAAATTTAGGTTGGATAAATATATGAGTGAGAGGGGTTGGATTTTGAGTGGGACTTGCAAATGAGTGGATAGATGTGGATAGAGTTATCAGACCTTATTTCTTGGGTAGCATTGAAAATTGGGTTGGGCAAATGTTTTGTTAGTGGGATGGATTGTAAAGGACCTGCCGAGTATGGGCCAACAGGCCTGCTGCAGTGATCCTCCTTTCTTATGTTCTTATGTACAGAAAACTGGCAAATTAGGACTAATAAATGCGTGAACTTTGCGTTCAGGAAGCCACACCAGTGTTGAAACTCTGACGGTGATCTCCAGTAACGGCAATCATTCCAAGTTTTTCTTAACTATTTCACTATTTGCACAAAAACAAGACGTAATACGTACTATCCAGTCCCTAAGATGTATCAGTAATTGATATTGAAGTGATTCAGTATTAGTAAATTAGTAAACTTAAATTTGTCTAACATGATTTAACAGGAATAAAAAAATTCACGCAAATTTGCAGCTGCACATTTAATTTCACTCTCCGCCATCGTCGAATTAGGAGGTACCATTCTCAAATGTTCGAAGCTACGCCACTGAGGATTTTGGAAGATATTCAAACCAACAGTGGCCCGTGGCCCGTGGCCCGTGGCCCATGGCCTGGTGGCAAAAGTTCTCCCTTTACACGCTGAGTGTCTGGGTTCGATTCCCGGCAAGGGTAGAATCATTGGGCGTGTTTCCTTACACCGGTTGTCCATAATCACCCATCAGTAAAATAGGTACATGGGTGTTAGTCGACTGGCGTGGGTCGCATCCTGGGTACAAAATTGACCTAAGTTGTCCGTAATGCTCTGCATAACAAGCGGTTTTCTATATAGTAGTATGTCATTTATGTCAGCTATGGTCTGTATACATTGTACATGTTCATTTAGAAAAAAAAATATTATTATTATGATTATTATTATTATATTATTATTTCAGTATGCTGAGCGTGTGTTCAACAACTTTGGTCATTGGTGACATGCACATGCCAACTGTTCCAAGATCTTGGCCCTATTTACTATATGCTAACATCAAAAAGTTGAAGCCGATCGAATGACAGCTTTACAAGTTATTAGCTAAATAAAGTACCTACTTACCTAGCAGTAAGTAGGTACCTGGGTGTTTATGGACTGATGTGGGCCGCATCCTGGGGGGGTGGTAGTATACCTTAGGGCTGTGCTAAGAAATAAGCTGAGGTGGATAACAGTTCTTAGCTTATAAAATTGACAAAACTAAACAAAGGTTTCCCTTCGTAGATAAATTAAAGTCCAGCAAAGTTAGACGTAGAATTTCACTTACAAGGTGACACTTAGTATCCAAAAGGTCAGAATGTTTGCTCTCTTGTCCAGCTTTCTTGTTTATTTCTGCCAGTCTTTGTGAACATGTAGTTAACAGTTCTGCTACAACGTTCAGTAGTGTATCACGAGGCTGTCGGAAATCGTGACGCAGTGCCTGTTATTTACAACAAAATTTTGTTAGTCCACACTTAAAAAAAATTATTTAGTAATACATAAAACAATATTTTTTTTTTACAATGTAATCAATATCTATAATAAATTACATATACAAACTAAACCAGAAAGTTTTCCAGATGAAATAGTGAATAGTTTACAAATGTAAAGTTGTTAGGTAAGACACATATGCAACAGTTAGGAATCTTTATTTCGAAACGTTTCGCCTACACAGTAGGCTTCTTCAGTCGAGTACAGAAAAGTTGATAGAAGCAGAAGATACTTGAAGACGATGTAATCAGTCCATCACCTCAAAACTTTAAGGGTGATGGACTGATTACATCGTCTTCAAGTATCTTCTGCTTCTATCAACTTTTCTGTACTCGACTGAAGAAGCCTACTGTGTAGGCGAAACGTTTCGAAATAAAGATTCCTAACTGTTGCATATGTGTCTTACCTAACAACCTGTCGGTATTTTATACCATTTTAATGTTCAAATGTAAAGTTATTTTTTCAGATCACATGATGAGAATTAAAATCTTTAAAATTTCGAACTGATTTCTTGAAAACGCAATAGTCAAGAGCAAATTTATACAATAAGAGGGTCAAATTATTTGTACTTTAGATTAGAATTTGACGCCGAAACGTCTAGTTTATTATGCACTCCATATCCACTATATTATAAACCTTGGTAATTGACACTGACAACACAGGAGTCACATAACCTGACTGAATACCGTCCTCTTCCTAATATGGCATTTTTCAGGTCACCATGTGTCACACATTACTCTCAGGTCACCATGTGTCACTCACACATCACTCTCAGGCCACCATGTGTCACTCACACATCACTCTCAGGTCACCATGTGTCACTCACACATCACTCTCAGGTCACCATGTGTCATTCACACATTACTCTCAGGCCACCATGTGTCACTCACACATTACTCTCAGGTCACTATGTGTCACTCACACATCACTCTCAGGTCACCATGTGTCACTCACACATCACTCTCAGGTCACCATGTGTCACTCACACATCACTCAGGTCACCATGTGTCACTCACACATCACTCTCAGTTCACCATGTGTCACTCACACATCACTCTCAGGTCACCATGTATCACACATCACTCAGGTCACCATGTGTCACTCACACATCGCTCTCAGGTCACCATGTGTCACTCACACATCACTCTCAGGTCACCATGTGTCACTCACACATCACTCTCAGGTCACCATGTGTCACACACACATCACTCTCAGGTCACCATGTGTTACTCAAACATCACTCTCAGGTCACCATGTGTCACTCACACATCACTCTCGGGCCACCATGTGTCACACATCACTCTCAGGTCACCATGTGTCACTCACACATCATTCTTAGGTCACCATGTGCCACTCACACATCACTCTCAGGTCACCATGTGCCACTCACACATCACTCTCAGGTCACCATGTGTCACACATCACTCACAGGTCACCATGTGTCATACACACACATCACTCTCAGGTCACCATGTGTCACACACACACATCACTCTCAGGTCACCATGTGTCACACACACACACATCACTCTCAGGTCACCATGTGTCGCACACACATCACTCTCACGCCACCATGTGTCACACACATAACTCTCAGGTCACCATGTGTGTTATGCAGGGTTCTGCATGACATTGTAAAGTATATACAGTAGAGAAGGGTGTCATAATAATATGAATGTTATAATTGTAAAGAATAATTTTATAATTCATAATGTGCATTTGGGGGTATTGTAAAGTACTCTAACTGTAATTATAAAGAAGTCCTTCTAGGTAGTTATTTTCCAAGTGTGTTTGGGTATGCGGAGTAAGCGTGGCTGAGGTAGTCACGTGGAGTCAGCATGGTGTGGAGGCTGGCGTCGGAGACGCTGTGTGTTTAAGCTAAGTTTGTAGTTGTGTACTCCTTTTGTTTAGCCAACTCAAACCATAGGCTCTTCTATGGCTTATCTGTATGCCCACCTAGGCTCTGACATGGTCGGGGTGCTGTGGGAGGAGTGAGGAAAAAAGAAATGGGGTTGGTAGTGGAGTAGTGACGGCCTGGCGTTGACTAGGCCTAGTGGTTATGGTGGCTGGACCTCCAGTCAGCTGTTTCTTGTGTACCCTCATTTGGGCATTTAGGATTAAGGTGCTTCTAGAGGGTGTATATAGTGTTATGTTGAATAAATAGATATATTTTCCTAACTAGGATTTTTGCCTAACCCTCTGTTAACCAACCCATTGAAGTAACACATACTGGTTTAGCGCTTTCTGTTTTGACTGGGATAGCCCTGGGTGGCCTGTTTATGCTTGAGATGTGTGTAACTTTTACCTTTGCCCTTAGACAAAGCTCAAGCCCCCAGGTATCCCACCTTTCTGCGTAACATGAGGGCTTGACCGGGAGAATTATCAAATTTTATGTGGTAATTCAAGTTTGCAACCTGGAAAATCAATAATCATTCTTTACTGGGTTGGTCAGAGGAATCATTCATTATAACACTCACACTAAAATGATAATTTAACTTTGTTTGCAATATTGTTGGTTTTGGAGTGTTATTATTAAGTAATACTCTGTGAATAATCTACCTTTCTGTGCCATCTTGTTGATTTTTAGGGTGTTATTAATACCTGATATTTTGTGCATAATTTATCCTTGCATTTTATCCTAAATTTCTGGGAATAATTTACCTTTGCATGTGCAGAAGCTCAATTTTTTTCTGCCAGGGTTTTCTTTTTGTGTGCAATCCTGTTTAATCCGGCCTGCCGGTTTCCCTGAATCCATTCATAAATGTTACGTTGCTGACACTCCAACACCACGTCAAGTAATAAAAACCATTTGTCTCCATTCACTCCTATCAAATACGCTCACGCATGCTTCCTGGAAGTTCAAGCCCATCTCACACAAAACCTCCTTTACCCCCGTCCCTCCAACCTTTCCTAGGCCGACCCCTACCCCGCCTTCCCTCCACTACAGATTTATACACTCTCGAAGTCATTCTGTTTCGTTACGTTCTCTCTACATGTCTGAACAACTTCAACAACTTCCTCAGTTCTCTGGACAACAGTTTTGGTAATCCCGCACCTCCTCCTAACTTCCAAACTACGAATTCTCTGCATTATATTCACACCACACATTGCCCTCAGACATGACATCTCCACAGCCTCCAGCCTTCTCCTCGCTGCAACATTCATCACCCATATAAGAGTGTTGGTAAAACTATACTCTCATACATTCCCTTCTTAGCTTCCAAGGAAAAACTTCTTTGTCTCCTAAGTGCACCACTCACCCTTTTCCCCTCATCAATTCTGTGATTCACCTCATCTTTCATAGATCCATCTGCTGACACATCCGCTCCCAAATATCTGAATACATTCACCTCCTCCATACTCTCTCCCTCCAATCTGATATTCAATCATTCGTCACCTAATCTTTATGTTATCCTCATTACTTTACTCTTTCCTATATTCACTTTTAATTTTCTTCTTTTACATTCCCTACCAAATTCACCCACTAGTCTCTTCAACTTCACTTCAGAATCTCCCAAAAGCACAGTGTCCTCAGCAAAAAGCAACTGTGACGACTTCCACTTTGCACATATTTTTTGCACTCTTTTTTTTCGCTTTGCCTTTATACAAAGGAACTATGCACGCTCTCTGCCAATCCCTAGGTACCTTACCCTCTTCCATACATTTATTAAATAATAGCACCAACCACTCCAAAACTATATCCTCACCTGCTTTTAACATTTCTATCTTTATCCCATCAATCCCAGCTGCCTTACCCCCTTTCATTCTTCCCACTGCCTCAGGAACTTCCCCCACACTTACAACTGGCTCTTCCTCACTCCTACAAGATGTTATTCCTCCCTGCCCTATACACGAAATCACAGCTTCCCTATCTTCATCAACGTTTAACAATTCCTCAAAATATTCCCTCCATCTTCCTGATACCTCTAATTCTCCATTTAATTACTTTCCTCTCCTATTTTTAACCGACACATCCTTTTGTTCCCTAGGCTTCCTCAACTTGTTAATCTCACTCCAAAACTTTTTCTTATTTTCAGCAAAATTTGTTGATAACATCTCACCTACTCATTTGCTCTCTTTGCACATTGCTGAACACTCTAACACTACATTTTTAAACCTACCCCATACATCTTCGACTCCATTGCCTATACTCTCACTAGCCCATCTATCCTCCAATAGTTGGTTATATCTTACCCTAACTCCTTCCTCATTTATTTTATAAACTTTCACCTCTCTCTCACTTGTGTCTTCTATTTTCTTTGTATCCCATCTACCTTTTACTCTCCCTGTAGCTACAACTTAAAAGTGATCTGATATATCTGTAGCCCCTCTATAAACATGTACATCCTGAAATCTACTCAACAATCTTTTATCTACCAATACGTAGTCCAACAAACTACTTTGCACCCTACATCATATCTTGTATACTTATTTATCCTCTTTTTCTTAAAATATGTATTACCTATAACTAAACGTCTTTCTATACAAAGTTCAATCAAAGGGCTCCCATTATCATTTACATCTGGCACCCCAAACTTACCTACCACACCCTCTCCAAATGTTTCTCCTATAGCATTTAGGTCCCCTACCACAATTAATCTCTCACTTGGTTCAAAGGTTCTTATACAAAATCTCCCTTTCTCTCTTCTACACTCCTCTCTTCTCCTGGTGCATACATGCTTATCATGACTCACTTTTTCATCCAACCCTTATTTTAATCCACATAATCCTTGAATTTACACATTTATATTCCCACTTCTTCTTCCATAACTAATCCTTCAACATTATTGCCACCCCTTCCTTAGCTCTAACTCTCTCAGACACTCCTGACTTAATCCCATTTATTTCTCCCCACCGAAGCTCCCCTATCCCCTTCTGCTTTGTTTCGCTAAGGCCAGAACATCCAACTTCTTTTCAATCATAACATCAGCAATCATCTGTTTCTTGTCATCCGCACTACATCCACGCACATTCAAGCATCCCAGTTTTTATAAAGTTTTTCTTCTTCTCTTTTTAGTAAATATTTACAAGAGAAGGGGTTACTATCTCATTGCTCCCGGCATTTTAGTCGCCTCATACGACACGCATGGCTTACGGAGGCAAGATTCTTTTCCATTTCCTCATGGACAATAGAGGAAATAAAGAAGAACAAGAGATATTTAAAAAAAAAGAAAACCTAGATGTGTGTATGTATACATATGCATGTGCATTCATGTGTAGTGTGGCCTAAGTGTAAGTAGAAGTGAGCAAGATTTACGTGTTATCCAGCGTGTTTATGAGACAGAAAATGATACCACTTTTAATTTCCTACCTTTACATACCTTCCCATTTTTTTCCACCAACCGCTGCAGCTTCTCTTCAGAATCTCCCAAAAGCACAGTGCCATTCACCAAAAAGCAACTGTGACAACTCTCACTTTGTATTAGATTTTTTTATCTTTTAATCCCAAACCTCTTGCCAACACCCGAGCATTCACTATTCTTACAACCCCATCTATAAATATATTGAACAACAATGGTAACATCATGCATCCCTATTAAAAGCCTACTTTATCGGGAATTAATCTCACTCTTTCCTACATACTCTAACATGAGCCTCACTATCCTCGTAAAAACTCTTAACCTTTTTCAGTAACCTACCTCCTATTCCATTCACATGAAGCCTCTGACACGTTGCTCCCCTACTCACCCTATCATGTGCCTATCCAAATGCATAAAAGTAAGGAAAGCCTCGTTACCCTTATCTAAATACTGTTCACTTATGTGCTTCACTGTAAACACTTGGTCTACACACCCCCTATCCTTCCTAACGCCTCCTTCATCATCTGCTATCGTGCTCTTCATTTCAATCTTAATTCCTCAAAAATAACTCTTCCACACTCTTTCTTTTCCAGGTATACTCAACAGATTGATTTCCTTACAATTTTTACAATTCCCTTTGTCTCTTTTGCCTTTATACAAAGGAACTATACAAGCTTTCTGCCAGTCCCTGGGAACCTTTCCGTCTTTCATACATTTATGAAATAAAAGCAGCAGCCATTCCAAAACTTTATCCCCACATGCTTTTTAACATTTCTGACTTGATCCCATTAATCCCAGCTGCTTTATCCCCTTTCATTCTGCCCGCAGCCTCCCGTATCTCCCTCCACACATCAGGCTCTTCTTCTGCACTCCGGTGCACAAAACTATGGCTTCCCTATCCTCATTAATTTAACAGTTCCTTAAAACATTCCCTCCATCTTCGAATACCTTCAACTCTCCATCTAATAAATCCCGTCACCACTCTCTTAACCTTTCTTTTTTCCTATACATATACTCCCAACTGCTTATGTCGCTTCTACTGTGTAAAAACCTTTAACATGCTAACTTTCTCTCTGACTCAACTCTTTACCCCATCATTCTACCAATTAATCTTCTTCCCGCTCCCACCCTTCTATCTCCACAAAAGTTTGCTGAACACTCCTGAAATCTACCCATCAACCTTTTATTCACCAATACATAGTCTAACAATATACTGACATTAAGCCTTTTATCATATCTCGTATACTTATTTATCATTTTTTTTAAGTGTGTATTACCTATAGCCTAACCTCTTTCTATACAAAGTTAAATCAAAGGCCCCCATTATAATTTATCCCTGGCACCCCAAACTTACCTACTACACCCTCTATAACTGTTTCTACCACTTTAACATTTATGTCCCCACCACAATTACTCTCTCAGGTGGTTCAAAACTTCCCAAACACTTGCTTAACATCTCCCAAAATTTCTCTCCTCTACATTACTCTCTTCTTTTGGTTCATAAGCACTTCACATCTGACCCTTATTTTAATCCACATAATCCTTGAATTTTTTCATTCGTTTATATTCCCTCTTCTTCTTCCATAACTGATCCTTCAACATTATTGCTACCCCTTCCTTAGCTCTACCTCTCTTAGATATTTCTGAATTAATCCCATTATTTCTCTCAACTGAAAATAACTTACCTCCTTCAGCTTTATTTTGCTTAAAGCCAGAACATCCAACTACAATTATCATGTAAATTCACATACTATAATTCCATACATTATACTGTGTTTTTGCAACCTTTACTAAGTCTCTCATCTTTAACACATTTTATTCCTATATCATCTACCTATCTGATATATATAAGATGATATACGAGTTTTATCAGGGTATTTTTAACTCTAAAAAAAAGTTGTTATTTGTATGACATGTCAAGTCAAAATACCTCAGAATCTTCCATATCACGTTCATAGGCTTGATATCTCTTGGAATCACTCATGTACTTGGAATGAGAGTCATCATCAATATCTATGGCAGGATTGTACGCCTTTGATGTCTTGGAATACGTAACCCGACTTGAACCCTTTCCTTCTCCAGCTGATTTTTGTGGTCCTGTGTAGTTCCTGAAGACAATGTTATTAGTGTAAAATATGAACTATTACAAAGTTAATGTCTTACTTACTGTTTAAACAACATAAATTTCTGGCAGCTGATTGTGGTTAATAAAGAAAGTCTGAGGATAAAATTAGAATAAATGATTAATGAGAGCGTGAGAGAAAAAAAATAATTCTGTGAAAACGCTAAGGAAAGATATGGTAACATTATACGATGACGTAAGTTACTAGCACAGTGTTATGATCATCACTGAAAGACTGTATTAAAAAAACAATATTTTAGCATGCATGTACTTTAATATCATATCTGAATGACTCAAAGTTGATACTACATTCATCATCCCTCATTCTGTAGCTGTCTATAAAAAATGATCGGATCTTACAAAATTCCCACCCAACTTCAAAATCATTTACATAATTTATTCAAGTATATCTATAATACTTCATTACCCATAGAATCATTCTTGATGATATTAAAATACTTAGCTAGTCCAGCTCCATGTTCATTTTTCATTAATGTAAGATGACATCTACATATATTAACGTTAACTACAACGTGAGAAATATAACATACTTGGCCAGTGGTTCACAGTTGGTAACAAGGGTCTTCATTGCTACAGCTACGTGATGAATGGTTTCCTTCTCTTGTCGTAGGTCCCGTCCAGCCGTGGCCTGCAGGTGCCGAAGTACCAGTCCCAAAATTGCTTCCAGTATTGTCTACAAAGAAAATTTAAATTAATAATTATCGAATATTTTTTTTTACCTTATCAACATTTCTGAGATCTTTATCCTACGAAAAACATTCTTGTGTAGAGCAGCAATTACTGAAAATCTTCTTGGATGTCCTGCCTTAGCACATCGTGTCAATCTATTAATTCCCCTCCATGTGTCAATTATCTTTTATATGTGTGCTCTCTCATTCTTGAGTCTCAAATTCATTTAGTACACCCAGCACCACCACACTGAACCTTTGGTACTCAAGTTGTATATCTGGTACCTACACTTTACCTCTGGCACCCACACAGTACCTCTAGTACCCACACAGTACTACTGACAACCACACTGTACCACTGACACCCACACTGTACCACTGACACCCACACTGTACCACTGACACCCATATTGTATTACTGACACCCACACATTACCTCTGACACCCACATTGTATTACAGACACCCACATTGTACTACTGACACCCACACTGTACCACTGACACCACACTGTACACTGACACCCACATGTACCACTGACACCCCACGTACTCTGACACCCACACTGTACCACTGACACCCACACTGTACCACTGACACCCACACTGTACCACTGACACCCACACAGTACCTCTGACACCCACACTGTACCACTTACACCCACACTGTACCACTGACATTCACACTGTACCACTGACATCCACACTGTACCACTGACATCCGCATTGTACCACTGACACCCACGTTGCATTACTGACACCCAAACAGTACCTCTGACACCCACACTGTACCTCTGACACCCACATTGTATTACTGACACCCACACTGTACCACTGACACCCACACTGTACCACTGACAGATAATCTTAAATGCACTACGGATGAATCGTTGTTTACAAAGAACAGCATTATACTACACTGCTTCTTTCTCTAGGTTAGTTTAGGTCAGGTTAGGTTGAATTAAGTTAGGTTAGTTTAAATGACGTTAAGTTATGTTCGGTTAGGTTAGGTTAGATTATGATTGGTGGAGTTGGGTTGAGTTAGAATGAGTCGAGCAGCGTGTTGACTGAGGAAAGGTTAGAAAACCTGTAAATTTGATCGCTATTCACATTTTAGTTCGTTCACTGGAGGTGCCATGCCTGGCACCTCCAGTGAACGAACACTGTAATTTTGGTATCAAGTATTATCAGTCTGGCACCCACATAGTACGTCTGGCACGCCCGTGGAAGGTCTGGCACCCATATATTTCGTTTGACACCACTGTAACTCACACGAAATATCTGTTACCCACAATGAACGTCTGACACCCACGGGCTACGTCTGATACCAGCGCTATAAGACAGATTACCACACTGTTCATATGCACCCACATTCTACCTCTGGCACACACACTGTACTTGGCACCAAACTGTGTGTCATGCACCCACACTGTACCTCTGATAAATATTATGTACTACTGGCACTCTGTCTGTACTTGTGGTACTCAGACTGTACCTCTGGCACTCAGACGTTGCCTCTGTCACCCACACTGTAGCTATGTCACCCACACTGTTCCTCTGACACCCACACTGTGTATCTCGCACCCGTAATATAGTACATCTATCACCCATACTCTGCTGGCACCCCATATTATATATCTTGCATTAATGCATCTGAAACACATACACACATATACAGTCTAGGGGAGAAAGACTACAAACCTCACTCAAGCAAAAGGATGTTGGAGTGTGTATAATTCCAAGCACATCTCCTGAGGCGCACATCAACCAAATAACTGCTACAACAAATGGGTGAGTAGCTCACCTATGAACAGCGCTCCGACATCTCAGTAAGGAGTCGTTCCTGACCCCCTACACCGCGTACGTCAGGCGCATGATGGAGTATTCAGCTCCGGTTTGGAACCCACTCTTCGCCAAGCACTTCAGGAAATTAGAGAAAGTGCAAAGGTTTGCAACGAGAGGAGTGGTTAAGGGAACTCGACCTGACGACACTTGAGGACATGAGGGATAGTGGTCACATGATAACGACATTTAAAATACTAAGAGAAATCGACAAAATGGACAGAGACAGGATGTTCCAGAGATGGGACACAACAAAAGGAGTCACAATTGAAAATTGAAGACTCAGACGAGCCACAAGGATATTAGGAAGAATTTCTTCAATCGTAGAATTGTCACGAAGTCGAATAATCTGGAAAGTGAGGTAGTAGAGGCAGGTACTATATATAGCTTTAATAAGTGGTATGATAAAGTTCACGGAGCAGGGAGAATGTGGACCAAATAGCGAACAGTGAAGAGATGGGGCCAGGAGCTATGACTCGACTCCTGCAACCACAATTATGTGTGTACACACACACACGCACACTATCATCTAAGACACAATGTACAGCTCCAACACTGTAAATATAAGAGCGGTGGTCAACACCAGGCACCAGAATCGTGCACCTGTCAACCACAATATTTATGTCGTACAAATAGTGTTCACAATGTACATCTGGAGCTCACATTGCACATGTGGCGCTCACATTACACATGTCGCTCTCACACTGTACACTTGGCACTTACACTGTACATCTAGCGCTCACACTGTACACCTGGCACTTACACTGTACATCTAGCGCTCACACTGTACACTTGGCACTTACACTGTACATCTAGCGCTCACACTGTACACTTGGCACTTACATGTACATCTAGCGCTTACACTGTACACCTGGCACTTACACTTACAACTAGCATTCACAATGTACACTTGGCACTTACACTGTACATCTAGCGCTCACACTGTACCCTTGGCACTTACACTGTACATCTAGCGCTCACACTGTACACCTGGCACTTACACTTACATCTAGTGCTTACACTACCCTGCCCTTCACTTACAACTAGCATTACGTACACTTTGGGACTTACACTTCATTAGCTCACCTGTACCCTTGGACTTAGCTTACATCTAGCGTTACATGTCACTTGGGACTTTCACTGTACTCTACGCTAACAGTGAACTTGGGACTTCACCGACACTAACGCTCACCAGGTAACTGGCACTTACACCGTACATTAGCGCTACACGTGTAACTTGGCATTCACCCTACACTAGCGCTCAACATGTAACTTTGGACTTACACCCTAATTAACCAGTTTCCACTTAAGAAGGGTCACAAATCTTCCTTTTTTTTTTTTTTTTTTAGTTCTACCTCAAAGCTGACCCGAACTTGTTTTAAAGGGCATTGAACCCACCAACCCAAAGATTTCTCCACTTCACCTCACCCCGCACCAAAAAACTGGTTGTAATTTGGCCCCTGCCTGCACTCAGAATCTGCGCAAAAGGTCCTTGAAAGAACACTTAAAACAGGTTTTCCAAACTCCCCCTACCTCACTTATAGGACTGCAACGGGGACCCCTTTAAAATTTCAACAACCCCCAAAAGCACTCCAAAAGTGAACTGGCCTTCCCCCCAACCTGGGCCCAAAAATGTTTAAAATCTTTTCCAAAAATTCCATTCCGTTTACTCCACCCAGACCTCAGGACTTTTACCGTATAGGCAGGACAAGCCCCCTCCTTGCGGGGTATCCCAACCCTGTAAAGCTGCAACAAGTTATACGTGGGGGGAAAAATCAAAGGGACCTAAAAAACGTTTTCGCACCAATCGCAGCAGGGCTGACGCACAAAGGGTCCTGGTACAACACCTAATTAACCCACTTGGAAAAAAAAAAACTCAAACTTATGAGGAGCAACCCCTCGAAGAACCTGGATCATCCTTATTTCTACCCACAACTCACCCGATGTCTTCTATTACATGCTAACCCAACTTGCCAGAAACTTCTTCATCGCTACCACATTGAACCTGTTTGGGGCTGCTCCACAAAATTTTCCTCTCCTTTCCAGCTACCCAAGTTTTTAGACTTCAACCCCAACCGGAACATCTCAATCCGTTTCTCACCTCCTCGCGGCTTTATAAATCTGCCCCTTCCCAACCCCGGTTTGTTCTGTTTGGACTTGAAAAAGCCCCGTTGGGCAAACTGTCCAAGGACACTTTTACTGCATTTGTGTTTTTTTGCCATTTTGTTTTAGCCCCGACTCTGCGTACCGTGTTAAATTCCACCCCGTACTTCTCGCCCAATGTTTTCTTGGGTTTACCGTAATCTGCTACCTCTGCTATGTACCTTTGCTACGCTACATCGGGCTACCTCTGCATTTTCCCTGGGGTTTACGTTTTCATCTGCTCCTTTTGGCTTGTCCCGGTGTACCTCATCTGCTCCCTTGCTAGTCCCTGTGCTACGCAACATTGCCCCTTTTGCTTGTACCTGTCCCTACGAACATTGCAACCTCTGCTATTCCCTTTTTTGCTCTCGCTCCCTCTGCTAATTATTTGTGCACGTACATTTTGCTCCCATTCTATGTACCTGTGCTACGTTTACATCTCCTCCCTTTCGGGAAATTTTTAACCTGTGCACGCTACATCTCCCTCCCTCTGCTATTACCTGTTTTACGCAAAATCTCCCTATTACCTGGGGTACGTACATGGGCTACCTCTCTATTTTCCTGTCCCTACGCAAAAATTTAAAATTTTAAAAAAAGGGGGGGGGGGGGTTAAAAAAAAAATTTTTTAAAAAAGGGGGGGTTAAAAAAACAACTCACCCGCATTACCTGGCTACGTACATCTGCTCCCTCTGCTTTTAAACCTTTGCGAACCAAATCTGCTACCCCCTTGTATTTTATTTGGGCGGGGGGGGGGGGGGGGGGGGGGAATCTGGAAACCCGTAGGGGGGGGGGGGGCTCAACCTTGCTTTGACCTGTGTACGCTACACGTTTCCTCTGCTATGTACCTGTGTTACGCTACATTGCTACCTCTGCTATGTACCGGGTGCTCCTTCCTTCTCAAACCTCTGCTATGACCTGTGCTACGTTTACATCTCTCCCTCTGCTAGGAAACCCTGTGCTACGCTACATCGCTCCTCTTTTATGTACCTGTGCCCAAACGCAAAAACATCTAATTTTACCTCT